CAAAAGTTTATTTTTACATCATTTTGCACTTTTTTATTTTTCCATCTCGATTGTAATCCCCGCGGGTTTCCCATCACCAAATCACCCGTGTGCCACCACCATAGTCCCGTGCATTTCCCTCCCTTCCCCCCCCCCGTAGCCTAATTTTTTAATAAAACTTTTTAAAAAATCAAGTACCATTGTTTTACAACTCAATTTGTTGTCAGTATAGGATTTCTTACCTCAGGTGTGGTCACCATAGCTGTCCCACTACCAGAGCACCCATAGTCCTTAACCATTATGCTCTCCCTCCCCCCACCACCCCAGGGGTTCTCATTCTTCCCCTTACCCTTCTTCTTTTCCTCCCCTCCTGGAGTTCTCCAGAGAGAGCCTATTTCTTTTCTTTTTTAAAAAATGATTTATTTATTTATTTATGCATTTAAGTACTGGGGTACAGGCCAGAGGTGCAGGGACAGTGAGAGGATTCACCAGAGTCAGAGTGGGGAACAGAAAAGGCAGATCTACTGAAATACACTGCTGAGGGGAACAGCAGGTCATCCAGGTCACTCCCTGGCCAGAGATCGAACTCGTGCCCAAGCGGCTGTGGCTGAGGCTGCGTCTGCGCTGTGGCTGTGGCTAGCTTTGTAGCACAACGCCCCAACCTACTGTGTTACCAGGGAGGGCCCAAGATAGCCTATTTCGTTTTAGTGAAATCCCATACCTCCAGTTTCAGCCCTCTCCCTACAACTAAACATATCAGTTTGATGGATCTCCATCCTGAAATGTGTTTTTGTGTATTGTACATAATATATTTATTTGGCCGCTTAACTAAGTGTCGTAGTTATCATTGTACTGTTTCTACTTAATATACTAGAGATGTTTCAAAAGAAGAATCTCACTCTTTTTAACTAATGTATGATCTTTTTTTTCCTTGTATGGCTAGACCATAGTTTACTAGACTGAGGAATAGCGCCACATCCATCTATGATTTTCTGTGAATATGTGTACACAGATCTGTAGAGTAGTAGGTAGCAGAGGAATATCTAGGTCATCTAATAAGTACAGGTTTTTATTGGTTTTTCTTTTCTTTTCCATTTGTAAAAGAGATTGGGATATTAGCTATATTTTAACATCACCTACCATGGTATTGGAAATATTTTCTCCTGGACTATTTCTTGTCTCTGTATCTTCTATATTCTTTCCTATATGTTTTACATTTACTTTCTTGCTTAAGAAGATTACATTCTAAAATTAAATGGTTTTTTCCTTAATTTTCATTGCATTACTTTATTCTTGAATTTTAAAATGTCATCTTCTTTTATTATTTTTTTAAAGACTTATTTATTTGTTCATACAGAACTGGGGTACAGGCCAGAGGCTCAGGGGCGGTGAGAGGCTTCACCAGAGACAGAGTGGGGAGCAGAACAGGCAGATCGACGAAGTACACTGCTGAGGGGAGCAGCGGGCGGGTCAGGAGAGGTCTGCCTCGCCATGTGGATCTCCTCTGGGGCAGGTGGGAATCGAACTCATGCGGAAGTGGCTTTAGCTTCTTCGTGCAGCACTTTAACCCGCTGCGCCACCCGCTGCGCCACCAGGGAGGGCCAAAATGTCATCTTCTTTTAATATTTGCATATATATTTTTACATCATTCTGCATTTTTGTACAGACATTGTACAATGTTTGATTTCTTCTCTCTGATTATCTTCAGCAGTATATAAGAAATCTACATCTTACAAATAATGCCACCACCAAATCACCCTCTGCATTGTCATCTTAGTCCCTTGTGCTATTCCTGCCCTTTGTTTTAATCCCTCTCATTGCTCTGACCCTAAAAATGTCTCTGATTTATGCTTACTTGCTAGTTTTGTCTTTTTATTTATGACTTTTTTTTACTGATTCCTTTTTTGCTTCTCCTAATCCTCCTGTAAGTGAATCCATCCGAAATTTTCTTTTTCCTTATGGTTTATATCACTGAGCATATATTTTTGTGTGTAGTGAGTAGGAATCTATGTTCATTTTTTTGCTGATTGAATAGCCTGTGTTATTTGGCATTGTCAAAGAATTATTTGCAATACATGAAATCCTTAAATAAAAATACTTGTAGCTAAACATTAGCTCACCACCAATATTATTTCCTTAGGATAAACTCCAAGTAGGAGAATTGTTGAACCATGAAGGAGGCAAAATACATCATTTTGAGTATTTATTGTGAATAGAAAAAAGTTATAGATGTAGCAATTTACTTTCTCATTGAGTATGAGAATGTCTACATCCTCAGTAAAAGTGATTACTGTAAGTAAATAGTTGCTTACATATTTGACAGATAGATAACAACTTGTTTTTGTCTCTTTGCCTCCTAATAATGAATGTTTATTCTCCCCATAGATTTATTTGGTGGATACACTGAATTTTTCAGGCTATGAGATAACTACATGTCCTTAATTATGAATTAAAAACTATTAGGTTCTTTGATTTTTTTTAAAGATTGATTTATTTATGGTACAGGCCAGAGGTGCAGGGGCGGTGAGAGGATTCACCAGAGTCAGAGTGGGAAGCAGAACAGGCAGATCGTCGAAGTACACTGCTGAGGGGAGCAGCAGGTGGGTCAGGAGAGGTCTGCTGCGCCATGTGGGTCACCTCCGGGGCAGGCGGGAATCAAACTCATGTGGAAGTGGCTTTAGCTTTTTAGTGCTGTGCTTTAACCCGCTGCGCCACCAGAGAAGGCCAGTTCTTTGATTTTTAAGAAGTTTTTTTTTTTTCCCCGCACATCTCAGTTGAAATGGGGGTCTATGGTGAGGGTTTATGAGGCAGTAACCGACTGTTATTTCATAGGAACGAAAAAAAAAAAAATGGAGATTGCAGCTTCAAGTGCACAGATTTGGACTCAGTGTGTTTGTAAGAATATTTGTGTATGTGGCAAAATCTGTGTCAAAATTGTGCAGCTTTTAATATAATGAAGGAAATTCTTTTTGATAGAAATGTATATAATGTTACAATAATTTTATAGGTTGACTTTCTTGTTGGAGTCCTTTATGAAATTTAAGTTATAGATATTTAAGGAAGTAGGGCTATAAATTTTATGCAATCAGGAGTAAAATTGGGCCAAGAACACTAGAATTCTAATTAACATTTATTTAGTACCCACTAAGTATAAGTCATAGCATTAATTAATAGAAGTGTAATGAAATATATGACATAAGATTTTACTTTGAGATGTAAAATGCAAAAAGTCCAGTTAGGAAGTAATGCTTAAGTGTGTATCTAAATATGTACCAAGAATATACATATTCTTGGTGAGATTAAAACTATATACAAACTTATATGTACACTGTATATGTACTGCACGCAAGCACTTGACATTAAAATATACATATGATTCTTGTATTTATGTATAAATTATACATATATATGAGTCACAAAAAGTATTTTTTACATATGCTTCAGTAGAAAGGAAAAGAGGGATGGAGAAAAAGGGATTAATCTCTTAGATCTGTTTCTTGTATTATAAATTTGCATACATTCCAAGAGTCTTCTGAACCAGGAGGTTGGGACTGCTAGGGGCCTTCAGAACAGAGACTTAGTCCTTACAGCTAAAGCAGCAAGTCTGCCAACAGCAGGTTTTGCTTTCAAACTGGTACCTGGATCCAGTCCCCAGAAGGGACTCATCAAGTCCGACTCCTATGGCGACCAGGGGCCCAGTGATGGAGAGCAGGAAGGGCTGTCTTGCTAAGAGCTCTGCAAGGCCTGGTTGCCCCGGCAACCCCACAGCAGCAAGTGTCACAATAATGCAGAGGCTTTGGAAGACTGAGGGGGGCTGGGGGCTCCAGGAAACTGTGGGGCTTTGGGCCTGGACACTCCAGGGCTCCAGCAACAGTGGGGGCCGGCAGAGCAAAGGACCCCGCAGAAGGACGGCAGCACCCAGTAGGCAGGGCTGGGGAAGAGCTTGGGGTGGGGCGCAACACCAGGGCCCTGGCGTGGAGCCCCCCTCCCTGCTAGTGGGCTTCTTCCTGAGCGCTGGCTTAGTGGTGCCAGGGTCCTGCCTCAGATCACTGCTGCCCTGCATGGCTGGGGTTGTGGGCACAGGGGGAGGCAGAGCCCAGGAGTGCAGCTCAGTCACTGCACTTCTTCCCCTCCCCCCGCCTCCCCACCCCCCAACCCCCCAGCCCGGTGAGGCAACTGCTATCACCTTGAAAAGATGGAGTCTTAAGCAAGTGCATCTGTAATAATTGCCAGTTTTATTCCTCCAGCTAGAGGTGCAGAGGTAACTTGAGGTTTACATTTCTTTTCAATATTTCTGTTATTAAGAATGTGTTTCACTGACCTTCAAATGTGATTGAAAAGTTCCTTTACTATGTTTGTTTGCATTATTTTGGTGACAGAGTTAACACACACACATGCATGCACATATATTCATTTTGTTGAGATGCAGATAACCAAAAAAATAAAATACAGATAATGCAGAGAGTACTGTCAACCTTTGAGTGTTTAAATGTAGACATTTTCCTTTGCATTACATCAAATATAATATACATATAAAGTGTATATATATACAACTTGTCATTTTCACTTTACAATATACAGTGAGCATCATCCATGCAAATGAATGAAACCTCCCTATTTAATGAATTAGAGACATTGGGTCAAAAGATGAGATATTGATAACAAGAGTCAAATTTAAATTAAAGGAACATTGAAGGTTTGGAGTGAAATGATAGCAAATAGTTGGTAAGTAAATGCAGACAAAAAGAAATAAATGGTGGAAATATTAATAACAGAAATAGTTGAATTCAGAAGAGAAGTGCCTTAAAGGGGATAGGGACGGTCCCGAGAGTGCCTATGGTTAGAGTGCAGAGCTCGAAATTTCTTTCTCAGACCCCTTATCTCTTCCAAACACCTTTCCATCTCATCTCCCTCTCTTGTCATCTCTTCATCCCTAAAATGCCTACAGTCTATGTCTTCTTTAAATTCCTCGAGAGACTGAAGCAGCCTTTGCCTAAAATTCCCTTCTGTTTGCTGGCGTTCAAATTCTCCGTAGGGACGTTCTTCCTCTCTCTTTGGCACACTGCATTTGGGCTTCCCTTCATTTTCCTTGCAGGGCTTCTGCATGATGCTTCCTGCGTATATCCAGAGACAAAAGGTATGGTCAGATTGCATGGTTTCTGTGGATTCAGTGTTGTCAGTTTTTCTTCGAAACAAGACACTCCTCCAAACTCCCACCCCTGCCTGGCAGGCCCAGCTCTCAAGTTCAAGATGCCTTCTCATCCTTTCCTTCCTCCTCTCCAGCTCCTTTCTCTCCCTTCTTCTGCAACCCCGCCCCCCATTTCTCCAGAAGACTAGACTAATGACTTCTCTAGTGGGAGAGAAGAGGGGCACAGTCTAAACTGGCCAGTGAGGCTGCAAATTTACCCAACTCCCACCCTCAGAGATGGGGTGCAAGTACATGTCTCCCATTGACCTGTGATGACTCCAGACAATTCCTTCTGCTTCTTGCCTCAGAAGTCTGTCAACACAGACCCTAGGACCTGCAGAGAGAAAGGAAGGGAGCGGGGAAGAGGGAATTACCTGTGGGTCCAGCCGCCCCAGTGAAAAGACTCACATTATTATCTTGAATCCAGGATCCACATAACAGTCGTTGCTTCAAATTTCCTATCTCCTGATTCTTCTCAGGACCCTATTACTTCTTCTAGGATCTCTGTTTCTGTTGCCCCACCATAACCCTCATCTCTCTTTCACCCTCAGGCCTAGTCTTTGCAAGACCCGCTCTCCCTTCTCCACTACCTCCTCACACCCCTTGCAAGTGGGCTTGAATGAGGCAATCTATTTTCAAATTTTCTGTAAAATTCTGTTTTCAGCCATCCCTGGTGGCACAGCGGGTTAAAGCACAGCACTGAGAAGCTAAAGCCACTTCTGCATGAGTTCGATTCCCGCCTGCCCCAGAGGTGACCACATGGCGCAGCAGACCTCTCATGACCCACCCGCTGCTCCCCTCAGCAGTGTACTTCGTCGATCTGCCTGTTCTGTTCCCCACTCTGTCTCTGGTGAAGCCTCTCGCCACCCCTGAGCCTCTGAGTTCTGTATGGACAAATAAATAAATCTTAAAAAAAAAATTCTCTGTTTTCATCCCAAGATTCCAGCCATTCTCCATACACCAGCCCACACTTCATTCTCCCCAACAGAACTAGAGAATGAGGAGAGGGATAAAGGGAAAGCTAGCCAGTCTGAGAGAAACCTAGTATTTCCAAACTACCACTAAATGTCTGAGAGTCTCTGGCTGTCCCTGACAAGACTTTCACCTACTCTAGCTCCATCCCATCTCCTTCAAAAATTACAGTTCTCTCTCCAAAGTTTGCAGGGCTTTGGGGGAAGGAAGTCTGGAGCTATTAAGTCACTAGATTCAGCCACTACCACCCCAGGGCCCCCAAGGTTTCCCTTACCCCAACCTCCTGGGACTTAAGGAATTTACCTCCTCCTCTTCCGACACAAGCACAAATGCCTGCAGGACAGTAGGGAGCTGGTACCCAGAGGAGAAAGAAGCCCTGGAATATAAGGACTTCGCGGCAGCCCCTGGTCACGTGAGGATTATGTCATCCTCCAACTCTGGTTCCCACTTTCCCCTCCCACCAGCTGTGCTGCAGAAGTGGAACTTCTCAACAACCTCCTGCCCCCGCCACACCAGGTGCTGTCAGTCATTTTTGTCATTGCTAATTCCAGAGGTCAAAAATGGCCCCTCTCCCCGTGGGAGGAATTTTCCTTGCTCTGATTACCACAGAAGGGCTGTATCTTCCCGAAGTCCTATTTTTTCAAAAAAGTAACCACTGTTATTATTTGGTGGCTGTACCGAGACAGAACATTGATCCTTTAAGTCACAAGAAGGGAAAAGAAGCAATATTATTTCCACCCACCCTCGCCCCAGCCACTAAGGACCATCATTTTCCTTGCATTCGATTCTTGAAACCAAAATGGAAGGGTTGGGGTAAATTAAGAAATGAGGTAATGATTGGGATTGCATTTCTAGCTCTGTTGTGATCACTTTCTATCCTTTTCCATTTTCCATAAACTTGTGCATTTTTTTAATAATCAGAAAGGTGATAATGATATGTACTTTTGGAAAAAGATTCAAGATAGGAGGATAGGAGGATAAAAAGACCTAGCCACCTGTTTCAGCTGCTTAGTCATAAGATAAATATAGACCCTCCAGGCAGACACATTTTTGGAGTTTAAAATGTACAGAGCAGCTGGAGGCTACCCTTTGGGGCCTTCTTAGGCATGTGAGGCCCTCTCGTTAGGTGAGCTAGTGGGACCATAATCCCAAAGTATTTTGCCCTTAAACTTTCAGATCGCAATAGTCAGCCACAAAATTGCACTAGCTTCATCTCCCCTATGTGTATGCTCTTTTATTTCCTTCAAAACTCAAAAGGTCCCACTTCTCTCAACACTTTTCCTTTCTTTCAGTCATTTCCATCCTCTTTGAATTTCCTTAGACCTTATTCAGCCATACTGGGGAACTACAAACTACTTGTAGCAACAACAAAAACTAGCCACGGTTTGTCATATATCATACTCAAATAGTTGGTATCAATGGAAGTGGATTTCTTGTTGCTTTGTTCATTTGAGACATAGGCAACAGGAAAAGGGAAGTGTTCTTTAAACTTATTTTTAGGAAGACTGGGGCTCATTATAAATGCAGTGTTACCGCTAGCAAGTTTGATGTAAATGATTCCAGAAAATACTTTAGAAAGAAAGACTTCTTACAAAGAGTCCAACATTGTTCTCACAGTTACAAAGGGATGGTTAGTTGTGGTAGAGGCAGAAGATTTGTTAGTAGAAATTCTGGGTCTTCTGGACAGCTTTTCATGCAGATGGTTAAACTTCTGGCTTTCAAATGACTAGAAGGATCCAGGTCTGGAAGATTTTGGCACTGTAATAAGAAGCATGGCTTGAAGAAATCTTAGTTTGAACTATTTGCATTTATTTGTATAACATCGGATCTAAAACCTGAATATTAAAAGTTCCCTGTGCTACATTTGCAAAATGCTTCTAAGAACATTGTCAGGATTAAACGTAATGTACTTTCTGTCAAGCATTTGGTAAATTACTGACACATACTGCAGTAAATCACAGGGTTCAATGATCACCTTCGAAGGATCTTGGGGATCCTTCCAGTTCACACTCTGTTTGCCACTTCCTAAGTGCAAGCAGCCAAAAACTCCTGAACCATTGCAACAACATTTACTTAAATCTTATCAATGCTAATAGAATAATGATTTCAAACAACAGATACGATCTTATCAGTGACCTGCACTGTTGTACTTCATCTTCCAACATCCTACTACATAGGGACAGCTTCACCTGATCTAAAAATTTCCAGAATACATCTTCATTTATAGGTAAAGGTGGTCTGAAAATGCAGGCAAGTATAAGCCATGGGAGCTGTCAAGTTAGATTTCACTTGTTTTCCTCACATTGGCTGGTGGGAGTCAAAAGTGAGGACAAAGAGGTATTTTGTATTACAAAAACAAACTCCAACAATTGCAACCAGATACATTCACGAAAACTTACCCAAAAAGCATCTAAGCTTATTCTACTACCCACAACAAACATCCCAGCCATTCTTCCTCCAAGTTAGTACAAGAAACCAGGAAAGGGGTAAGGGATAAACAATTGTGAGAGCTATCAACCTGGTAGGGAGTTCCATATTGTTCATTCTAACAACACAACAACAAGACCTAAAACATAGATAACACTTCTTACATACTGGAAACTCTTTAAGCACATTACATATACGAACTAAATGAAAGTTCCTTAACAATCATAAAACTGTTATTATGAAACTAACAAACACAGAGGCTATGTAGCTTGCCCATTGTCATACAGAAAATTGTGGAGATTAGACTTTTAAATTAGGACTCTCACTCCAGGTTTGAACAAAACGATAGTCAATTCTATCCCTGTCTTGTGAATGAAAGGAAAGCTGTAGCTCTTCTCTATTTTGAAACAGGTGGTGGTGGTATCTCTAAGAGAATCACATACAAGAAGAAGTCTTCAAAGAAGTATAGTATAGGATTATGGGTATTTTGGTGGTGGGCATGTGTGGTAACATACATCTGAAAAGATGTGAATCTATACCGCTAAATCATATAAAGTATTACAAACCAGTGTTACCTTAATAAAAAAATACTAAAATTATTTTTTAAATAGAAGGTAATGGTCTAAAGTCTATAGTTAGGTCATTGCTTATCCTATTGATCCAAGATATGGCAGTGTGAAGCTAGAGATACAATGTATGCCTATCTTTGATATGACAACCTATCATATCACATGATAGGATGGATGAATTTTCCTATGGGCTCCAAGGACATCAGGCTGATTTGCTTGTTCCCTTTCCATTATAGATGGGCACAAGGTGAGGGGACTCTATAAAGACATCATTCCAGAATTTTACAAAATATGCTAAAATAAAATGACAGAAATGGGGCCCTCCCTGGTGGCACAGCCGGTTAAAGCACAACACTAAGAAGCTAAAGCCACTTCAGCATGAGCTCAATCCCCACCCTGGAGGTGACCACATGGCGCAGCAGACCTCTCCTGACGTGCCCGCTGCTTCCCTCAGCAGGGTACTTTGTTGATCTGCCTGTTCTGTTCCCCACTCTGTCTCTGGTTGAAGCCTCTCACTGCCCCTGCACCTCTGGCCTGTACCCCAGTTCTATATGCATAAATAAATAAAATCTTTTAAAAAATGGCAGAAATGAAGCATAAACTGGGATCAGGCTTTGTAGAACCAGATAACTGGACAGATACATCAAAATGGTTTCAGCTGTTTTCCAACTCCAGACAACTTGCAGCATAAACAGTGTGGTCAGAACAAGAGTAATCAAGGTGAGCCCTGTGGCAGCTTTGGGTTTTGACTGAAAACACCTTATGACTGGTGGCACAGAAAAGAGGACTAACTGCCTTCCTGAGCTGAAGAGACTCAGGAAATTGATGAACTTCTGGCAGGTAGAAGTGGTTGAAGGTGTGGTGAGGATATGAAGGATTAGTGTTGAAAACCATTCTCCTAGCCTTTTTACTTTCCTTTAAATTTCTTATGAAATACTAAGCCACACATA